ACAAAGACTTCTTGAACTTACATATCTTATTTTTCTCGTTTGCATTGCAAAAGAATGGTGGTAATGTCATATAGACTTCTTCCAATTCTCTATTTAGAAATGCATTCTCAATGTTCATCTGTTAGAGAGACCAATCCAGGTTTGCTACTAATGTCGAAAGTACTCGTCCCTTTGCAACTATTCGAGCTTTATACTATTCTACTGTCCCATCGGCTTTATATTTCAAGTTGAAGATCTATTTGCATCCAACTGGTTTTTTTTAGGCAGAACCATTACCTTCTAAGATTCATTTTTTTCCAACGCTCACATCTCCTCTATTACCACTTCTCTCAATTTCGAAATTTCCAAAGCTTCCTGAATATTATTTGGACTTTTTGTACTGTCAAGGTTAGAGGTGAAACTACGAAATCCTGTAGATAGAACATTATATGACATGAACTTTGAGATGTGGTAAAGAGTAGATGACCGAGTTTGTTTTCTGAGTGCGATGGGTAGTTAATGTGAGATGATTGTGACACATTTGTGATGTCATGTGATTCTGGAGCTATCACTGGTTCCGACTCTGATGCTTCAATAAACAAGCATCTCCTTGTCACTTTATTTTTTCAACAAGCATCTCCTTGTCACTTTATTTTTTCTGCATCTCCTCCTGAATTCAAGTTTCTTCGTGTAGATGGCATAGAAGAACTTGGTGATAAGATAGGCATTGAAGCAGACTCCAAGGGAAGAAGATCTAAGTTTATGTACCGATCTTCACTTTAATTCTCCCTTTGAAACAGAGATTGTGGAAATATGAAGTGTTTTCAGAGAATGTGACGTCGAGACTAACAATGACCTTCTTTGTGGAAGGATTATAACATTTATATCCTTTATGAGTAAAAGAGTATTCGATAAGAACACATTTAACTGCTCGATGATCTAACTTATTTTTGTGATTGTTGTTGATATGGGCAAACATGGTGCTACCAAACACTTTGAGGGATAGGTTCGAGCTAAGCTAAGAATTTTTGAAATTTTTTGAGGGGTGATTCGAAGTTTAAGGTACGACTAGACATTTGGTTGATTAGGTAAGTAGATGTTAAGATAGCATCACCCTAAAATCCTTTTGGCATGTTTGTAGTAAACATTAAGGCTCAAGCAACCTTTAGAAGATGCATGTTTTTTCGTTCGGTAATCCCATTTTGTTAGGGAGTTTTAGCGCAAGAGCTTTGATAGATTATATCATGGGTTTGAAGGAAATCCCAAAATTTTTGGTGAAGTGTTTTGTGGCATTATTGGTGCGCAGAATTTGAATGTGTTTGAAATTGAGTTTGTATCATGGAGTGAAATTGATAAACACATTGAACATCATATTTTTCTTTTAAGAGAGAGACCCAATAAATTCAAGTGTAAATGTGACGACCCACTTCGTGTGAGCTCGATTAGGAATCCGTGAATGGTCTCGATCGTTTATATGTGGATTTTGGGAACGATTTTTGGTGGTGTTTAGCAAGTTCACAAAATTTACATTGAAAATTGACGAGCTTTTTATTTAAGAGAGAATGGTAGGAAATACATGTTTCAAATACTGAAAATTGGGATGTTTTATTCTAAAATGCCATAACAAGATTTCACTATTATTAGAAACATATCAAAAATGGAAAGTCTTCAATTGGAAGATGAAAAGGTGACTAAATTGGTCCTAGATACTCTCCGGGATGGAGTCATCGAATTCGTTAAGGATCCCATACATAATTGTGAATCATAGTAAATGGTCTTGATGGTTTATATGTGGATTTTGGGAACGATGTTCGGTGGTGTTTAGCACAGAATTCAAAAATTGACAAGCTTTTTATTCAAGAAAATAGTAGGAAATACATGTTCAGATGCTCAAAATTGGGATGTTCTATTCTAAAATGCCATAACAAGATT